GCGGCCGTCGCGCCCCCCCCCCCCCCCCCCCCCCGCGTGAAACTCGACTCTCACTAGCCCCCTGGCTCGACGGCCGGGGCCGGGCGATTTCCTCGCGCCGCGCCGCCGCGGCCCGAGCGCGAGACCGCGCGCCCTGTGCCGCGATCGATTTGTCAGGCGATCTCCGCGCCTATGGCCCCGCCACGGCATGGATGGTCGCCGCCATAGCTCAGCGCCGGCCGCCTCCGCGGCCGCGCGTCGACTGCTGGGCTTTCGCATGGCCCACCTGCCAACGGCGCCTCATCTCCCGTCGCCTCCTCGCCCAGACGTGCCCCGCGATTTGCGGCTACTGCTGAAACGAAGGACCGCGCCATCAATGCCGCGCCTGGCCATGGGCCCCGCCCCCGCAGCGCGGCGCCCCCCACCCAGCCACCTAGCCAAGCAACCACTTGGAAAACCTCCGCGACGGCGGCCCTCTCGGGACCGCCCCACCCGCCGACGCTGAGCCCCGCGCCGCCAGGGCGGACATAATTTGTTTTCAACCGGGACATCTACCTGACGTTGCATCCATCGACGAATCTGAACCTCGCGCAACGCGCAGCCCCCCAACTACTGCGTCGCAGCCTCCCCGCAGCAGGGCCCTCCATAACCAGCAGCACCCCTGCAACTGGCCCAGGTTCGTGTTTTCGTGCCAGCGCCGCCAAGCACGGCGGACCATCCTCGAACGCCGTTCGCCCTGCGAGCTCGGCGCCAGCCCCTGCTGCGGCGACCCCTTCCAAGGCGGCCCCGCCTTCGAGGGCCCCCTTCGCCCGCCCCCAGCCGCGCGCCAGCCGCCCGCCAGCGGTGCCGCGCTACGCCGGTACCACCCTCCACCCGCGGTCGATCTTACCGGCGGCACGACGCCCGCGCGCCGGGTCACCGCGCGCTTCTGCCGACGGCGCGGCGCGTTCGCTATGACCGCCCCTGGCCTCCACCCCGCGCCTGGCTCAGCGCGATCAGGCGCCCGCCTGACCTGGCGCGCCCTTATCAACGCGCTAGGGCAGACGGCCACGCCCCCCGAGCGGCCCAAGGACCCGATGTTTCTCCTGCGGAGGGCCTCGTTTTACGCCGACCTCTCGAGCCCCCCATCCGAGAGCATCCGCGCCCTTGCCGCCCGCCCTCGCGCCCGCATGGGCGGTCAGCCCAGCGGGGCCGCGCGACTTCAGCCGCGCCGTGACGGAGGCCGCCTGGCCAGCATGGACGCGAACCGCCCCCCCCCCCCCCCGGTTCTGCAAGCTCCAGGGCGCCCCAAGCGCGAGAGCTCTGCGGCCCCCCGCCCATCTCCCGACCGCGGCGCCATCCACGGCCTCGGCGGCGCTCGCCGGTTCCAGACCTCTGAAGGCGCCGTCGCCCACGACGGCGGCGACGGTCCATGTGGCGAAGAGAGGCAGCGGGACGCTGTCATCGCGCCGCTCGGCGCCCCCTCCCCGCGGCTGGCCCCGGCCTGCGGACATCGAGAACGCCCCTCGCTTGGCCTTGATGCATGGATAGATGGGTTCTTCGGGGCGCCCTTCGCTTGGCCATTATCTTTCCTCTGCGTCCCCGCTGCCTCGAGCGCGGATCTGCGGCCCCTGACGCGGGGCCCGGGCTCGCCCGCCCCCAGCTTCTGCTCGCTGGCGCACCCCGCCGCGCGCCGCCAGCGTCGGCTCTCGACGCCTCTCTCTTGTTCGGGTCTGCCCTGCGCCTGTTTTAGCGCGCGGTGTCGCTCTGCGGCGGACTCCTGGGCCGCTGCCTGCCGCCTCGCCCCAGCTCGCCTCGTCCCGGACCCACTTCGCAGCTCGGCTCGCCCGCCCAGGCATTGCCGCGCAGCCAGGCTCTCCCGCGGAGTTACTGACGTGGGCCCCCGCTATCCACCGGGAGCCCCTGACGATGCAACGCCTTTCTTTTGGCTCGATCCTGGCCCTGTCGCCGCGAGCGCGGATCTGCCAGCCTCGCGCGGGGCTGCGAGCCCGCCTGGCCGCTCCCATCCACCTGCGGCCTCGACGGTGCAGCGGCGCCCCGCGGCGGCCCCGTGGCTCCTCCATGTTGGGTTCGCCCGCGCATCGCGGCCGCTGCCTCATGCGTGGATCTGCCCTCTGCTGGCGCGCGACGTCGCTCCGCGGCGGCCCCGTGGCTTCTGTCCGCCCCCCCTGCGCTTCCCGCCTCGCCCTGGTTGGCATCGCCCGCAACGCTAATTCGCTCTCGTGGACTCGCCGCGCGGCATGGGCCGACCAACGGACGATGCCGCTTTGACGCGGTCTCGGCGTCGATCCCGCGTCGCCCGCGCGGCCCGTTGCCCCCCTCGGGCGGCGCCGCTCTCTGTGTCAACGCCTCCCCCGCTCCTCGGACTCTGGGCGCCCGCCGACCCTTGTTTCTGGCCCTCGCTTGCCGCTCCCTATCTGCTGATCGGGCCTCACCCACTTGGGCGTCCCGTCGCTCCGCCCCTTCCCGCTCGCCCATCCCCGGCCTGCTGGTCTCTCCAGCGCCGTGGGTGTTCCGGCTCTGGCCGCCCGCCTTTGGCTCCGCCTGATTTGGGCGTGGCCCGCCGCGCCTGCGTGCGCCGCTCCTTGACGCCCACCCCTCGGCGCGGCACCAACCTGTTGCTGCCCCGCATTCGCTGCCCGCGCCGGCCCTCTCCGCCTGGCGCCCCGCCCTGCGGCCGAACCCCCCCGCCGCCCCCCGCCGATCGCTCGATTCCGCCGCTGCCAACTGACCCGGCGCCCTGGCGCCGCTCCTGGCCACCGCCCCGCGAGGGAGGGGCCAGCCGCCGAGCTTTGTTTATGTTTCTTTCCGTTTCTTCAAGCTACTTCGCGCTCGGCCGACGGCCACGCGCCCCACGCCCTGGCGGGTCGCTGGGCCGCGACGACCGAAAAGTGTGTGTGTGTATGTATTTGCGTGTGTGTGTGTGTGTGTTGTGTGTGTGTTTGTGTGTGTACTTCTGTGTGTGGGAGGGGCTTATGCCACTTCCCACCTGCACGGTCACTTCGTCCACTCGCGCGCCTCGCCGGCATCCAGGTCAGGATGGTTATGGCTTCTGCCAGACGCTGCAGTACCCTAAAGGGTCTCTCGGGACTCGGCTGGTCGTACACGCGCGCGTTTCGCCGCCTTGACTTAGTGCGCCCCGACGCCGCCCGCGGGGCCGCGAGACCTATAAGTGTGTGAGTATGTGTGTTGTATTGTGTTGTGCTGTGTTGTGTTGTGTTGTGTTGTGGTGCGCTGTGTTGTGTTGTGTTGTGTTATGCTGTGGTTTGTTTTGTTGTGTTGTGTTGTGCTGTGTTGTGTGTGTGTGTGTTTGTGTGCGTGTGTCTACGCATATGTGTGTGTGAGTGCGCGTGTCTGTGTGTGTGCGCGTCGAAGGCTCGAAAGCGGGGTGGCGGCATGCGGGCGCTGCCTTCGGCGGATCTCCCTATGCGGCCACGGATCGCGTGAGGGGTATGCCGACATGATGCGGGGCCACCATGCGGGCAAGATGGCCCATGAAATCCACAAGGAATCCCAGGACTGTCCCACAGGAGCCCAAGACAGCCACAAGACGGTCCAAATGAGCTACATGGGGCTCTTCTTCCCGCTCCTCCTCCTCGTCGACCTCCTCCTCCTCCTCCTCCTCGTCTCTTCCTAAACCTCCTCCTCAACCTCCTCCTCATCATCCTTGTCCTCATCATCCTCACCATCATCCTCTTCACCACGGCTCTCCCAAACTTAGGGACACGAGGTGTCACGCGTGGCGGAATCTCGTGTCCCCTCGAACCAGTCACCGCCCCAAATCCTGCGATGGCACGGTGGCGGAACTTGCCGCAGGCATCCGGATGAAGCCGGATCAGTTCAGGCTGGGCTGGGAGAATCCGGCCTGGGCGTGTATGATGGTCGGCCTGGCGCTGAGGCTCAGTAGAATGCCAACTGCTGTCTGGAAGGCGCCCTCCAGCGCAGAGTTCTCTTCAAGATTGCCGCGCTGCGTGCCCAGAGGGGGGAGGTCTGGGGCCGCGCCGCGCGCCCAGGACAAGGGGGTGAACGGAGGGCCGCGCCGCGCGCAGCATGGGCCGCGCCGGCGCGCGGCGCAGGCGGCATGGGCCGCGCCGCACGCCGATGCCACGCCGCGCGCATCGCCAGAGCTCCGTCACTCCCTCTGCCTCCTCTGCCTCCTCCTCCTCCTCCTCCTCCTCCCTCCTCCCTCCTCCTTCCTCCCTCCTCCCTCCTCCCTCCTCCCTCCTCCCTCCTCCTCCCTCCCCCCCCCCCATCATGTCGACTGCAAGTGAGAGTGGCCCCTCGCCGGAGTGACCTCTGGCGCGGGCCCACTGGGGCCCCCCCCCGATTGCCATGCGGCAACAACGTCTTGCTCTCTTGTGTGTCGGCCCCACGTGGTCACTCTTACCTAGGGTCACTCTTGCGTGTAGCCGGCCCTCAAGCGCGTACATTCCCCCCCTTCCGAGAAACCCCGGGCGCCAAGGCGATTCCCTGGCGGCGCTCTCTTCTGCAGGGCTCCCAGGATGCCCAGACTGGCTTCCAGGACGGCCCGGGCAGACTCCACTCCAAGGCTGCCCATCGCACCTTGAAGCCCCATGTTATAGAAACGCTGTTAATTCCTCAAGGCGATCAGCGCGGAGAAGCAAAATTCCCCACGTCCCACAAACAGGAACAGCGCCGATGCACATGTCGACCACACTCCATGTACAGCGCAATCAAGAGCGCTGCGGAAATTCTGCCCATGTACTTCAGAAGCGTTTCACAAGATGGCAAAATTGCAGCGTAGATCTCAAATACTGTACGTGAAACCCATCGTCAGCTCAACAGCGCGCGAGGTTGGCCGACGCTGGACTGCACGCTATGGCAACGGCACCTTCAATACGGCTGTCAAGTCTGACAAGAGGGCAAAGCAAGCCGCGAATTCAAGCGACTCGCAATGATAGCCAAAAACCCGGAGCACATACTCTTGTGATCTTGCCAGCGGCCGGGATAGGACCCGGACTCGGATCACATACTGGTGCCCACACGGACTGATGACGACATCAAATGGACTTGCGCAAGGCATCGCCCACTAGAAGCGATATCTCGGCCTCGACGGCCCGTCGTAGCTCAGTGCGCACGGCCTTGTTCAGTGTATCATAAGCGCCTGGCATGTCTTCAATCATGCTCTTAATGTTTTTCTCGTCGTCCTCGAAGGATGCCCGAGCCTGTCCTGCATCGACCTGAATTGCAGACCTCAACTGGCCGAGGCCTCCCTGCTGGAGAAGGATATCGATCTCCACTGAGGCCTCTGATGGCAAAAGTACTTCGAAGGGTATCTCCTCCGATGTGACAGTGAAGACCTCAAAAAGGCACCACAATCTTGTAGAGTACCGGGACTCCACCACCCGATCCATCATAGCGACCATCCTTCCGACGTTCCGTAGCTGCGTGGCAAAGATTGTCTTTAAAGTGAAAAAGTCTTGCGGCTTACTGTCTCCCAAAATGCGGAACTGGTTGTTTAGGAAAAAACACCACCATACAAAACACTGCTCCGGATTTGTTAGCCTCGAGCGGAACTTGCGAAGAGAACTCAATACCATGCTGAGCTTGTACTGCCAGAACCAAGATAAGAATACAGTTGCCCTGGCGGAATGCCCTCTGCTTCGGACTGCGTCGACGATGCTGCAGTCTAGCATCCCATCGCGCGGACATATCAATCCCTTACCGTAGGCGACCTCGCCGTGCGCGACAATATCTGCCAGCTCGAGGAAATTCATGGTGTGTACATTGCCGCCTAAGTCGCCCGCCACTGAAATCTTGGTCAAGAGGGATTGAGTACGCTCTGATCTGCTTTGCTGTGTCAGGGCGAGCCTGACAAAGCGTTCCACCATCACTTGGGCTTCTTCAGGGAAGACACTGATTGCAAAATCGAGGCTGATGCCCAACATGCGGGACTGATCTGCGACGTCCTGCTCACTCACTTCGCCGGTGTCACCCGCTCCAGTTTGCAGCTCGGGAATACGATGCTTTGCTGTTAGATCTCCACCACGATTAACGATCATGCGCCTCGACCAGCATAAAAGGGCGCATAGTGCGATACAAGAAAGACAAACGCTGATGATGCTGGCGATGACTAATATCGATGCCTCTGAGCTTGGTTCCCGGTCCACAATCTCATTGCCGTCCGCTGCTGCTGAGATGCCAGTTGTTGTGCTGGCAACTGTCATGGGAAATGTGGACGTGACTATAGCTGGAGTTGCCATAATTAGAGCCGTCATCGTTGGGGCCACCATGATCACCGATTCGCCACTCCAGTCTGCTGCAGCCATAGCACTGTTAGTCTGGGCCTTGATAGCGGCAGACGCTCCTGCAATCGTGGCGGACAAGGCGGTAGCAGCGCTAATGTGGGCGACCTTCACCTTGAAGTCAGTCTTCACAGAGACTGTGCCTGGGAGCTGGCGAAAAGTAGCGAGCCGCCGAGCACGCAGGGTGAAGTCTGTGATGGTAATGTCGGGGGCGGGCACCGACAGAGCAGTGACCAACCCCTTTTTCTTGGCGGTCTGGTAGACAATGGAAGACAAGAGGTGAGTCGCGGTCACGTCAACTGGAAGAGATTCGTCCGCGGTGTAAGCAGCAATGACCTCGATAACAGCGGCTTCACTTGGAATCGTTGTGGTTGCGCTTGCCGCTTCTGTGGCGGAGGTTGCCGTCGTGGATGTGGGTGTCGGTGATGCTGGCGTGCCGCCGCCGCAGTCCGGGTTGTCTGCGCAAGCAGGGGTCGGTGCTGGCGTTGGTTCCAGCGTTGGTGCTGGCGTTAGCGCGGACGGAGGCGCTGGCGTTGGTGCTGGCGCCGGTTCCAGCGTTGGTGCTGGCGCTGGTGCCTGTTCCACAACTGTGATGTCTGCGTCTTTGGGGTTCCACGAGGGCACGTCCACTGGGCAGAAGGCGTATACCGCATGGTCAGAGTGAATCCATCCCGAATCTTCCAAGTAAGATAGGCCGATTATCCATCCCGTAAATCCGCCACCCTCGTGAAAATCCGCAGCCGTGCCCCCTGGCACGTGAAGGCGCGCACGCATGCCAAGTGCTGTCTGGTACCATGGTTCACTCGCCACCCGAAGGGTGGTGGGCGCGAACAATGTATCAAACACACCCGAAGGGCAATCCCAGGCCAATCAAATCCCACACCCAAATCCGAGACAATCAAGCCTACACAACAAACAAGTGAACCAAACCATTCGTTCTCAACGGAGTATCCCCGTTCGTTATCCTCAGCGCCCTCGTCATCCTTGGAAAGTGACGGAGAACTGATCGGCGAGCGGAGGGCGGAAGACGAGTACAAGGATGAAGGCGGGAAGGGGGGCAATGAGGATGTCGACGAGAAGGGGCAAACGGGGGGGGGGAAGAAAGATGTAGGAACGCGAGACAGAAGAGGGGAGGAAATGATGAGAGAGACATGCAGGGGGCAGGGGAGAAAAAGCTGAGGCAGCAAAAGGGCAGAAGGCCTCTTCGGACGTAAAAGTAGAAACGGGGCAGGAGAAGGATGATACCCCCCCTAACGTGGCACATCCCTAACTAACTGAACCTGACCCAGATCCTGTCGACACTGCGCCAAAACTAACCTGACCCATTAAAGCTAACGTGACCAACGGCTCGGCGACACCAGTGTGTCACGCGCGCGCTGTAGCAAATGATGCACCAGAATGGGGCGACACAGCAACATGCAATGCAGAAGTGCCAACTGCATCACCAGTCCCTCTCCGCTTCCAATGAAGCGGCCTAATCACGCACTAATCCCCTATCCTAACCTGGCCGGCGCTGAAGCGAGAGCAACTTTCACATTCATGGATGTGGCCGCTGCTGTGGCGAGAGCAACATTCTGAATCATGAATGTGGCCGGCGCTGGAACGAGAGCAGCTCTATCAATCGTGAATGTGGCTGGCGTGAATGTGGGTAGTAATCATGGGTGTGGCGGGCGCTCAGGCGGCCCAAGGAGGCCGTTGCGTGCTGCCTCAGGAAGCCTCCGAAGCGGCGGCCCTCAGAGGCCTCCGCAAACGACCTCAAGAAGCCTCGCCAAGCGGCCTGAAGAGGCCTCCGCCACCGGCCTCCGGAAGCCTCTGCAGGCGGCCGCGGGATGCCTCCGCAGGCGGCCTCAGCAGGAGGCCTCTGCAGGCGGCCTCTGCAGGCGGCCTCGGGAAGCTTCTGCGGGCGGGCGGCCTCGTGAGGCCTCCGCGAGCGGCCCCAGGAAGCCTCTGCAGGCGGCCCCAGGACGCCTCCGCGGGCGGACCCAGGCGGCCTCCCCAAACGGCCCACGGACGCCTCCCGCAGGAGGCCTCCCGCAGGCGGCCCCAGGAGGCCGTTCGCAGGCGCTCCCAGGAGGCCTCCCGCAGGCGCCCCCAGGAAGCGGCCTCCAGGCGGCCCCAGGAGGCGTCTCCAGGAGGCATCTGCAGGCAGCCCCAGGAGGCGTCTCCAGGCGGCCCCGGGGGGCGTCTGCAGGCGGCCCCAGGAGGCCTCTCCAGGCAGCCCCAGGAGGCCTCTCCAGGGAGGTCCCGGGACTTGTTCGGTGGAAAATCGGGGGTTTGTTCAGGAGAAATTCGGGGGATTGTTCGGTTCCTGTTCGGGGGCTTGTTCAGTAGAAACTCGGAAGTTTGTTCTGGAATCCATGGGTTTGCTGTACTTTCTGCCTCCCTGGGGCTCTCCAGGGCTTCCTTGACGGCCCAGGAAGCCCCCCAAAACGGTCCAAGAGAGCCTCGAGTCGCCGAACGATCGCTCGAAGACGCCCAAGATGGCCTCAAGATGGCCCAAGAAGCCTCCAAGACGCTCCAAGATTCCTCCAAGAGGCCTCCAAAGAGGGCCCCAAGATGCAACAATTACTGATTTTCCTGAACTTTTGAAGAATTTAGGCGTTCTCGCCTTTTCTGTTTTCCGACTCTCCAGGACGGTCCAGGAGGCCTCCAGGACAACCCCAAAACGGCCCAAGATGCATCCAAGATAGTCCCAAGACGGCCTAAGAGCGCCCGAAGACTGCCCAAGAGGCGCCCAATAAGGCCTAAGAGGGCCCCAAGACGGCCCCAAAAGGGGACCAAGAGAGGGAACACGAACTGAAATTCCAGACCTTCCGCCCCAAGAGGCACCCAGGAGGCTCCAAGAGGCCCTAAAAGGCTGCCAAGAGGCCCCAACGAGGCCCCATGAGGCCCCTAAGAGGCCGAACAGAGGCCCCGAAACTGCCCCCAAGAGGCCTCAGAACTGCCTCCAAGAGGCCCCCAAGAAGCCTCCCACGTGATCCCAACGAACATCCAATAGGCGTCACACCCACAACCCAGGCACGGTGGCGGGACTTGCCGTAGGAAGATGGATACAAGTACTGGGTGCCCGAGCCGACTATCGCGTAGACTGGTCGGTCAGACTGTACCAGATCCGTCCGAGTGTACAGTCCCAGTCCCCTGGTCGGGTACTCTGAACTGTCAGACACCACAAATGAATCACCGCACGCTGGGGTCGGTGCCGGCGTCGGTGCCAGCGTCTGTGGCAGCGTCAGTGCCTGATCGTTCCACCCCCCCGTGGTCGAGGCCCAATGGACGAGGCGTGGTGGAGGGTGCCTGTGCACCCCGCCTCCATCCCCCCGTGGGTGTGAGGTGGCTCGTCGTCGTCGTCGTCGTCGTCGTCGTCGTCGTCGTCGTCGTCGTCGTCGTCGTCGTAATCGTCGTCCCCCCCAACCCCATCGTGGGGGGGGGGGGCCCTGTGGAACCCTGGGACCCATCCCATCTGGTGAGCTGGGGGGGGGGGGCCTGTGAACCCTCGACCCGGGATCGTCCATCACCGACAGATCGGCGACAGGCCCCCCGGGCCCCAGACAGCAACACCGCACGGCCACGCGCGGGGTGGGCCCATCGGGCCCCTGCCGGCGATCCATGGGCGATTGTGGGTCGATGCGTCCCCCCGGCCAGGCCTCGCCTGGCCCGGGAGCGGTGCACGTCCTCCCCGGCCAGGCCGGGGCGGCGTTCGCACCTCGGTGGATTTGCACAGATCCCGTCGCCCTCTTCCTCCTCTTCCTCCTCCTCCTTTCCTCCTCCTCCTCCTCCTCCCCGTCCTCTCCTCCTCCCCCTCCTCCTCCTCCTCCTCCTCCTCTCCTCCTCCTCCTCCTCCTCCTCCTCCTCCTCCTCCTCCTCCTCCTCCTCCTCCTCCTCCTCCCCCCCGATCGTTGCCCCTTGGCTTTCGGGCCATGGCTCGGCTCCCTGTCAGCCGGTCGGGGCGATCTGGGCACCCCTGCAGAGCGCTCTCGGCGGGGCGCAGCTGATGGAAGCCGCCCCGGGCCTGGAAGACTGCCGAGCACCAGCGAAAACGCCGGAGACCCTAGGGCTTCAAGCCTCGAAGTTCGAAAGTCGAGCCCCTGATCCTCCGAAGCCCGCAGCACATCGGGCAGGCCCAGCGTCTCCGTCTGGTCCAGCGGAGCAGCCGCGAGGACGCGAGCGCGCGGGAGTAGGGCCGCGGCGGCCCACAGGATTGCCGTGGCGGCGACGCCACCGCGGCGCATGGTGTGCACGCGATATTGGGCACGAACCGCGCCAGCCACTCGATTTATAGCCAGAATGGCTCTGGGGAAGATCCAGCGTCGCACGCACTCCACACCGGACGATTTCGCTTTGTTCTGGGCCCGAAGACCATCACAGATCGATGCAGCCAGAAAAATGCCGCAGCAAGATGAAATCTTGAGCTCTGGTCGCAATTGTTCGTGATGCCGCATGTTTGCCGCAACGTCGGACCTTGGGTCTTTGCTGCTTGCCTGCTGGCCCGACAGATTGTTCCTGGCCTCGTGCCTGATTTTCGCATTGACTCCTTGCTTGCTTTATTGCATGCTTGTCCATACGTTGTCGAGAATTGCGGTCTGCTGCCGGTCAAGGGTCGCTGCTGCTATGTGCTGCTGATTGCTGCTTGCTGCTGCCAGTGGTGCCTGAGCACTTGCTGCTTGCCAGTGCGTCCTGCTGCTCGCTCGGTTCCAGCCATCCTGTGCTGTTGGGTCCTCACTTTGAATCCGCAGCGCCCCGAGTCACCTCACTCATGAAGGGGCCCTGGGACACACAAATAAATACACACAAATAACAGGATTCCCCATATTTTCCTGTATTTTGTTTTTGTTGTTGTCTTTCCCCCACTTCCCTTATTTTCCAATATTTTTCTGGGAGTCGACGATTACTTGTGTCTGTGTGTTTTTTCCCTCCTGAATTCACTCCGACCCCCCTCCACCCTCCCCTGTCTGCCTCTGACTTCCGCACGTCTTCGTCGCCCTCGTCGTCCTCGCCATCCGTCCAGGTCAGCACACCGCTCACGCTTCTGGTGGCCCCGTAGGGGGCTCCACCAGAGGCCCACACGGCAGCGCGCATGGCGGCGCCGCCCCAATGTGGCACACCCATGCCATGGATCTTCTGACCCGTGTCAATCCAGACCAGGGTCAGTCAAGCCTTGCAAAATCCTGCAAGATCCTGCGCCCAAGGCCGGGTCAATGCGAAGGATCCTGCAAGACCCTGCAGGATCCTGCACCCAAGCCCGGGTCAATGCGACCCTGGCCCTGCAGGATCCTGCAAGATCGGGCGCTCTGGCTGACCCCCCTTTGCGTTGACCCCCGTCTCCTGAGCCCCGACCGTGGCCACTCGTGCGCCTTCCGGGCCCTCTCGGGCACAGTCCCCAAGCCTCTGGATCGAGGCACGTCCGGGAACGAGCCTCGGAGCGCCCAGGCCGGCGGGACGGCCCGAGCCCAGGGCGCCCGAGCGCAGGCCGCCCGCAGCTCGACGGGCAAGGGCGGCCGCCCGGACGCTCCAAGTGGCCCTCTAGCGCGAGCGACGACTCCGGGCAGCACAGTTCCTCCTCCTCCTCCTCCTCCTCCTCCTCCTCCTCCTCCTCCTCCTCGTGTCCTCCTCCGCCTCCTCCTCCTCGTGTCCTCGTTTCCTTCTCGCCTCCTCCTTGTCTCCTCCT